GAATCTGTGGAAAGAACTGAAAACTCCTAAAAAAAAAAACACTCTCCATCCAACCTCACTGAGCTCAAGCTGTTTGCAGGAAGAATGGACAAAAATGTCAGTATCATGAAATCAGTGCAAAAACAAATAGACTTATTCCAAGCAACTTGTAGCTGTAATTGCAGCAAAAGGTGGCACTACAAAGTAACAACTCAAGGGGGCTGAATCATTCTGTACACCCATTTTTTTCATTTTCTTATTTGTTAAAAAAGTGTTAAATATCACATAAATTTTGTTCATCTTCATGATTCTCTCTTCACAAAGAATTACAATTTTATATCTTTATGTTTGAAGCCTGGAATACGGAAGAGAATTAAGGCTAAAGAAAAAAAAAGTTAACTGATTTTTACATTTTATTTTAGTTTAATATTGGGGAAAAAACAGAATTTTGACTTTAATCTCAGAATTCTGACTTTAATCTCAGAATTCTGACTTTAATCTCAGAATTTCTGACTTTTTTCTCAGAATTCTGACTTTTTTCTCAGAATTCTGACTTATTTCCCATATTAAATTGAAATAAAATTAAAAAATTAGTTAACTTTTTTTTTTCAGTAGCCCTAATCATCTTCTGTACTGGAAGTAGTAATAATAAAAAGAGAAACAGCAGAAAAAGAAACAGGTAGCTTTCCAGGCAGCATTTAAGCAATAGCCACTCCAGGATGCCAACTTTTAAAGGTTAAGAGAGCAGCTTTAAAACAAATTCGTGTGGAGAAAAAAATCTCGTTAATAAGCCACACCATTAAAAGCTCAGCTCCGAGTTCCTTTAATTTAAGACAGATAAAAACGCAGTTGTTTATGGGTTTTAAATGAGCAAAATAATACAGACGGTTGATATTAAATCCGTCTGTGTTGTTTTTAGATCACAGTATCTCATTTCCTCATTAAGCTAAATAAATCTCTGCAATGTTCTCTGTAGAATTATGATCAGCGCCTGATCTCAGCGGCGGAAGCGCTCACGCACATCCTCTCAGCGGGCTGCGGGGAAAAAAGCCTGAACATCTACGGGACTGAAGAGCCCTGAAGAGCGGTGACTAACGGAGGCAGAGGGAGGAGGGGTTTGGGGCTCTGTCGTCACTGGCATCATCATCAGCATCAGTAACAGCAACAGTGCGCAACTTGGAGAAATACCTCCACAGTCTGAGCGGAGGAGCGCGCATGTGTCCGCCCGCAGAGACGCGTCCAGGCGATCAGACCCCGGCTTTGATGAGGGAGTAAATGAAACAGGGGCACCGCTAGCTGTGCAGGGAAAAAAAGAAAAAGAAAAGGAAAAGTCATGGATTTTAGGAGAAACCATCTCCCCATCTTTGTTTTGTTAAGTAAGTAGTATTTATGTTTAACTTTCAAAGACTTATTGTATGGGGGGAAGTTTTGTTGTTAAGTCATGTAATTCTGTTTGTTATTTCCACCATGTTTACATTTTGAAGTTTTAATTTTGTGAGTAGCTCTTTTTATTGCATTTAATTTACCCACTGCTGGGGGTTCGCGGAGGTCCCTCTGTCCGGTCCCTTGGTGCGCCTGTTGCAGCGCGGATTCATCCCTCTCAGACCCACGGACCGTGCATTGCTCTTCCCGGCTTTCAGGCACAGATCTCCACTGTAACCAAAAATAACAGCTGATATCTTTGAAGCTTACATTTACTCCAGTGGCACACTTAAAGGAATTTGATTTTGTACTAATTTACGCAGCAGCAGGAGGACAAGACTTGGCACGAAAACTGTCCTCCTGACAGTCAGCACAATTACTTCCATATAGTCCACCACTGGTGGGTTAGTTTGGAAGAAAATCCAACATCAGCTTAGAGAGGAATTCAATAAACACTGTCTTAAAAAATTTGAAGTGAAAATTGTTTATTTTAATTATTATTGACATTTTATATTTCAACTGACATGAGATCAGTTTAAATGTGCCTTATCCTGTCTGTTCATGCATGTTGTCATATGAAGGTCTGAGTGTTAATAACTGCATAGACTGTCTCATGAAGGCATATTTACACTGAAGTAAGTCAATGTTTTAGAGCTGTGTTCTTTTTTTTTTTTTTGATTCCTCTAAACGTAATTATACTGCAAATAAGCTCCTGCTGCTGTGCCCAATTGTGTGCCCAAATTATGCCCCAAAATGTTAAAGGCTTATGTTTGAGATATTCCTTTTGCATAGCAAATTGCATCTAAGGAGGATGGTAGATTAAACTTCCTTTTCCCTCATTAAGAACATTCCAGTTTTTTTTATTTTCTAACCAGCAGGACACACATATAAGAACATGTAAGAACCCCTTCCTTTGCACCATTTGAAGTTACATTCACTTGCTGACTAGTGATGGCTCCTACTGCAGTCAGTCACTTAAAGGGCCCAGGGTGAGCGTTGCCAAATTTCACAGCATTAAGTCAGTTCTCCCTCTCTGTCCAAGCCCTCGGGCAAATGCAGCATGCAGCACAGTCAGGGAGATGGTTTTCCTCTTCCAAACAGATTTCTGTGCAGGGAGTTTAGGTTTTAGAGTCACTAATTGTATCTGAAATTTTTGGTATAATTATGACATCAGATGTTTTCCTGTAGTCAGGGCTGTTTACTGGTAGCAGTTTGTCTTTGTTTGTGTGAGCCTGTATTTATTTATATGAGCTGTGTAACTACATCTTTGTTAGTCAGAATAAAAAAAAAAACAAAGGCATTATTGTTAACTATAGATAATGTATTATTCTGTTAATCTGAATCAGAATTCAAATTTGGGAATTATGTTACATGCCAGAAACTTTATTATGCATGCCAGAAACAACAACTGGCATTCGTTTTTCTGTTATTGTTCAGTTGAAAATTGCATTGCATGACCATTTTGAATTCAAGCGTAACACTTTAATGTTTACAAACTATTGTTTTTCTGTTAGGCTTTTGTTAGACAATAAGAAATACTGAAGCATAAGTTATGAGTGTTTGAATAGATTCCAGATCCACACTTGAATTCACGCATATTTAAGTGTTTAACAAATCAAAAGTTTATAGCGGATTTAACTAGATACACAATGTTCAAAAAATGTTCTCATAAAGTCCTATTTGGCATTTCCAACAATATTTTCCAAAAGTCTTGAGGTTCATCATCAATGTGTTTTTTCTTTTGGCTCATTTTAAAAACCTTTGTGATCTTTTGGGTCAGCTGTGGTTTTGAACTTTCCTATTTATGCCATTTTTGCCCAGTCTGTCATTCTTATGGTTGAATAAGGAGCTCTGACCTTAAGTGGGGTATGCAGTGCTTTGAATGTGCTTTTTTCATTTTTGGGAAAGCTGGACACCGCTTCACCAGTGTAATGTGTGGGTGATGTTTCTCACTCTTGCTCACTGGGAACCTGCAGCCTTAGGAACTGAAGTGAGCAGAAATATGTGGGGAAAAAAATCACAAACTCATTTTCCTTTAAATCTTTAAACTCTCTTTGAACATTTGCTCATTCATATCTACTCCGATGAAATTGGTCTGATATTAATTTGTTTGATGCGAGATCAAAGGTAGGTGGCTGCAGAATGCATTTTCTATTAAACAATCAGTGTTGTGCAAAGGTTTTAACTATTTTGTTAATTATTTTCCTTCAAAGCAGTAAGGATTTGTTGTAATATTTAATGTGGATCATTGGACACTTTGTTGTTCACTGGTCGCAATTCTTGATCATAATATTTTCTAAGATTATTTGGCACTAGTGGCCTTTATGTGACAGTTGGCTAACAGGAAAAGAAGCTGAGAGTGGGGTTGGGGCTATGAATCAAAGGTTAATGAGTCAGAACTCAAATGCATAATGACTACGTCGAGGACTAAGACCTCTTCATATGGATTGCCCACTTTACCCATTAGCCACTGATCCACAAATCTTTACTTTCCCAACAGATATCGTTAGAGACATGTCCCATCAAAATTGATCTGCCCACTTTGTGTCACTATAATGATGAAATAAAATAAGATTCCATTTGCACTGTAAGGTTCCCTGCTTTAAGCCTCACCAGGTATTTTTTTTTTTTAGACAATATAGCTGTAAAGTTAACATGAGCTTCTTCCCAGCTCACTAAAAAGGAATTTTATTGTATTTTATTGAATTTATTGAATAAAATTTATTGAATTTTATTGAAAGTTTATTGTAGTAGATGATTGTGCGTTTGAGGAGTGTTTAAAGATAAAAGGTCATATTTTGATAAATATACAAACTTTTTTTGGTCTGATTCTACATTTATATATGATTATTTTTTGCCGCTGGTGTATAACTAGCTGGTGTTATAGGTATAAGTAGCAAGTAAGGCTATGGCATGGAGTTAATGTAGATGGACAGGATAAAGAGTTTGGAGGAACAGTGAGGATAGTGATGAAAGAGGAGGAGAGAAAGAACTTTAAAAAAGAATGACAGAAGTTCAATGAGAAGGACTAAGTTGGTATTAGAAAATACTACAAAATTATAGTAATCTCCTAAGATTTTCGGACTGTAATCCAACCCTAGGCTGGAACATTGGGTAAAATCTGATTGATTTAGGCGCTAGCTTGTATTTCACGATATAGCTTTGGTTTTAATAATTGCTAATTTTCTTAGATTTTTATGATAAGCTGATTGTTTGAGATAGCTTATCATCTAAAAGGGAAACACAGCTACAGTAGGAAGAAATAATTCTGAGTCAAAATTGAAGTCTAGAAGATTAAAGAGAGAATATAGAGGTAAAAACTGTTCTTCGATTAGTTATCTCTATGAGAGAAACAGGATTAACCACTTAAAAAAGGGGACCAGGTGGATTCTCTGGACAAGAGAATGAGGTCCATAATACAGCTGTATGACAAAACCACCCAAAAAAAGCTATGTTATGCTGACAACATATTATTATGTTTACAGTCCAGTTGGAGAGTGTGTATCCGGTGTTTGTCCAAGTTATCAGCCAATATATTGGATATCAGTTTTTTAAAGCCCCCAATATTGGTATTGCCCATTTAGAACCCCAAAAATACTTGTCCCAAATGTATAGAAATCAGATTATTAAAATGTACACATTAGCAAACTATATGAAAGGCTTTTCCGTGGAGTTGCTCTCCATTTAAACTTTACCATGTTCCATCTATTGTATGTCAGGAACAAGGGAAGCTGGTGGCCATCTATAGCAGTCTTTGAGCAAAAGGTAGAGTAAAGTCTGGACAAGTGGACAGCCCACCTCAGGGCAAGAGCCATAACCATGTGCACAGATGCTCACACCTTAGAATATTTTAGAGAACCCAGTCAATCTAACATTCATGTTTTTGGACTGTGGTAAGAAGCCCAAGTACCCAGAGAGAACCCATGGCAGCTTGGGAGAACAACTCCAGACAAAAAGGACCTTCTTGCTGCAAGGCAACAGTGCTGCAAACCTTACCACCATAATGTACAGCCATTCTAACAATTGAAATTATTTTTTGCGTGATTTTTACCCCATTTCATTGCATTTCCTTTTGATTATTGATTAAGATATATTTAATGTTTTTAAAATATTGTTATATTTTTATTGTTTTTTCTTTCGCACTCAATTATTTTCACACAATTTTTTACACGTTTTTGGCAGGTGTACTAATGATTTGATAGATGTCAATATGCAACAACTAACAATAACCCTGAATACCAAGTGTGGTTTAGACATGTTTGTCAACAATGATTATATGTTTTTTTTTAACTCTGATGTAAAAGGAGTATTTTTAGGTGTTCTTTCATTGCCTGCATGGTGTGTCGTTCTTAATTTTTATGGCCACTTGCTTTTCAAAGCTGGAAAGTAATTAAGTGACAGCAGGAAATGTGACACATGAGCTCGAAAGTTGGAAGATATTTGGAATCTGCGAGAAGCAGCCTATTAGATCAAAGAGTGATAAAACTTAAAGGAAAGAAAGTCATTATTTTAACCCACAAAGAACAGTGAATAAGGAGCTGTCAGGTGGGGACGATATGATCACAGTTAAGAAAATGAAAAAGTTGACATGATGAAGTGCATGACTATAAAAACTATATATGAAAAACATTGCAGCAGAGTATTATACAGTAATGATATACATTACTGCAGAAGAACACTTTGAACTTTGTACTATATTTTTGTGCTTAAAACAAAATCTGTGTTTCTCATATTGTTTCTTTGAAAGTTCAGTATTGCTTCTGGTTATTGTGAGATAGTGATTTATTGCTCATTTCCTCAACATCTGTCCTTTCCTCTCAATATTATCATAAGGGGTATCATGAACTCCACAAGGGAATTTCCTCAGATTTGACCCAGGAACTCATGTTTGATTTGGTGTGGTCAAAGGCTGTGTTGCCTTCTTATAGATGGTTTTACCCCAGTTCAAGAGCTC